AGCATGACTTACAGGAACACCGCAACGTTGCTGGTGAAAAGCTCGGGAAAAAATCAGTGGAGTATAAGTCCGTTGCGGGCATTGACTACCTGATCGAAGTTGATAATAGCTCACCATTCATTAAAAAAGTACCTGCATCCTGGGCGAAGATTAGCGGTACCAAAAAGGTGTCGAGGTTTCACACGCCCGAGGTTATTCAGCTCATCCGACAACGAGACCAGCATAAAGAGGCGCTGGCTGCGGCTTGCGATGGAGCCTTTCGTGCCCTTCTTGCTGACATAGCCGCCAAATATCAGGCCTTCCGTGATTGTGTACAAGCATTAGCCACACTGGACTGCTTGATATCCTTAGCTACTATCGCGGGCCAGCCTGGGTATGTGAAGCCTCAATACACGGATAGCACATGCATCAATGTTGAGCAAGGCCGCCATCCTATGGTTGAGCAATTACTGCTGGACAGCTACGTGCCAAATGACATCAATCTGGAGAGTGACAAGACCCGCGCACTTCTAGTCACTGGTCCCAACATGGGCGGTAAGTCTAGCTATGTGCGACAAGTCGCCCTTATCGCCATCATGGGCCAGATTGGCTCCTATGTGCCTGCGCAGTCCGCAAAGCTCGGCATGTTAGACGCTGTGTTCACCCGCATGGGTGCGTTTGATAATATGCTGGCTGGAGAGTCCACCTTCATGGTTGAGCTCTCTGAAACAGCAGATATACTCAAGCAGGCAACGCCCCGCTCGCTCGTCATACTAGATGAACTAGGCCGAGGCACGTCCACCCATGACGGTGTCGCAATCGCCCAAGCGGTTCTGGACTATATGGTTCGTTCTATCAAAAGCCTCACCCTATTCATCACACACTACCAGCACCTCTCATCACTGGTACATTCGTTCCCGGACAATGAACTACGAAACGTGCACATGCACTTCACCGAATCGGGGACCGGTCAGGATGAAGAGATCACATTCCTGTATGAGGTGCGAGAAGGAGTCGCGCATCGCAGTTATGGACTCAACGTGGCGCGATTGGCAAACCTTCCAGGTCCGCTCCTACAGCAAGCGCGTCAGAAGAGTAAAGAGCTCGAGGAGAGAATCCGTCGCCGGAAATTGGCAGGTCTTGTATCGGCAGTTGGGAAAGCTGTGGGCGATTCTACGAGCGGGGACGATGAGGGATTGATGGATCGACTTATCAGCAGCGCAGAGCAGCTGTAGATGTTAATCGACTCGCAACATTGCTTTTGATGTTTGCGTATCACATTTGATGCAGGAATATCTGAAAAACAAAGGCATGACGGCCATTATGTATAGACCTGACAATGCTCCAAATTATGTCATTACGGCACCTTATCAAGTCCCCTCCGTCGCAAGCAAATTTACGTGTGCTGCTTTCCGGAGGTTGCACGTCCGTATAGCCACAGGAGCTAGATCTACTGGACAAGCAAGCGTGTAGCAATTCTATGAGATCGCGTCCAAGCCTTTGAACCTTGAATTTGCAGCTTTACCGATGCCTGTAATCGTTTTCGCGCGAGCCCAGAGTGAACAAGGTGAAACGATCAACCCTCGAACAAGCCGGATTCCAGGATATAGCGGAAACCGTACTGTATCAAAACTTGATCCATTTCTGCTCCAGGTCGTGGGCCGCCTGATATCGTCCCTGGTATCTATCTCAAAGGTCCGGTGGATTTCAAATTTTTTTCCTTTTTGTATTTCAGGTTGATCTCGGTCTCGTTTGTTTCTTCTATGGAACCCTGGTATATCGGAACACAGAATGGTAAACAAACGCAAATCATCACAACCCGGATGCCGCATCAGCCCATGGGATGTTTTTTATTGCCTTCCCGACCCCCAGAATCATTTCCAACGCAAGCAAGGGTACATAGCCTCGAGAGGGAAGAAGATAAGAAAATTCGGAGAGTTGAGGAGATTTTTAACGGAGACGGCGGGCCTCGCGTTCGGACTCGAGCAGGCAGAGGATGTCGTCGACCTTGACTGTAGATTGCGGGAAAAAAAACCCGTGTTAGCCTTTCACATGTGCGACGTAAAATTATAGTCGGATTGACTCTGGCGAAGACCCGAAATTCTCCTTTCCCGCCGGTCGAGAATATCCCAAAAATTCGTCCCGAGTGATCCTGCGTCGAACGAACTTCCTCCCCAAGTGTCGAATGACTTTCCTGTCTTCGTTGGTTGATTTTCCGATCGCGTTCCCCGTTTTCAATTCCAGGCTCTTTCTTTTTGGGATATTTCTTTTGTCGGAGGGTCGGAGAAAGTGGGTCATGCCGAGCGCAAGCGAATAACGACAACAGAAGAATTGATCAGACGGAGAATCGCATACCAGGGCCCTTGACGTTACGGATGATGCTGCGGGAGGTATCGTCCATGAACTCGACGCGGACCTGGGTGACACCACCACGGGAACCTAATGTGAAATCGAGAGCAGTCAGCGTTGACCGCACAGCGAGGGAGGCGTTTTTGCGGCAGCGCGACTGCTGCCAGCGAAGCGGTTTATCGTCAACATACCGGTACGACCGAGGACACGGGTGACCTTGACGAGCTTAGCAGGCTGCTTGGCGGAATCCATCTTGAGGTTGGGCGTGACAGCAGCAAAGGACTGACGGGATGGAGGTGAAGATGGCGAAGGGGGACCGGGTTGATAGAAGTTGAAGCCGCTCGGTGAAAATCGAACGGGATTGCGCGCTTGTGTGGGTTGCATTTCCCCTTTGGGAAAAAGACGAGGGCTCAGGGCTAGTGTTGCCTCGCCCGTCAGGCATGAATCGCTGGCCTGCTACATCAGGCACAAGCAGGAGGGGTATTGTGCCTCAGGCAGCAGAACCTGCTCGCCCGGCGCTCTCCGTCTGTCTTTTCTGCCGCATTGATGTCCAAGTCGCTGCCCCGTTCCTCTGCTTTTCTCCTCTGCCTTTCCCCTCACCACCACGCCAACTTCACTCTTGTCAGAGTACTATTTTGCCGGATTGTATCCGCTTCATCCAGGGCTTTTTTGCTGTCCTCCAATTTGACCAATTCTTTCTCCATCCGGTGTCCTATTCGCACTTTACGCCCCGAGTAACTTCCCCGCGCATCACCGATCATCGACCGAAATGGATCTCGTCAACCAGTAAGTGTCAATTGGTCAACCGGCATGGTTCAAGCGCGAAACCCCAAACAACAGGATTACTGTTGATCGCTAGAACTGTCATCATGTTAACCTTTTATTTTCAAACAGCCTCGAAGGAAGACTACTCTTCGCCGTCCCTAAGAGCAAGTGCCCGCCATGACTCACTCACTCCCCTCCGCCGCAAGAAGCCTCGATACCTTCCATGAGATCCGAGCATTGGCTTGCTGCACCTGTACAAGAAGTTTCAAGCTAATACCTTTCTTGCCTTTACAGAGGGTCGTCTTCAACAAGCTACTTTGGACCTCCTGGCCGGTGCCGACATCCAGTTCCGTCGCGAAACCCGCTTGGACATCGCCTTGGTGAAGAACTTGCCGATTGCGCTCATTTTCCTTCCTGCCGCTGATATCCCGACTTTCGTGGGCGAAGGGCGCGTGGATCTCGGTATCACAGGTCGCGACCAGGTTGCCGAGCACGATGCCCAGCTTCCCAGCGGTGAGGTTTCCGGCGTGGAGGAGGTGATGGACCTTGGCTTCGGCGCCTGCAAGTTGCAGGTTCAGGTTCCTGAGAAGGGCAACATCACGGAAGCCCGCCAGCTGGTGGGCCGTAACGTCGTTACCAGCTTCACTGCCCTTACCGAGGCCTTTTTCACCAAGCTCGAGGCTGAGGTTGAAGGCAGCCCGAAGACTAAGATCAAGTATGTCGGTGGCAGTGTTGAGGCTGCCTGCGCTCTGGGTGTGGCCGATGGTATCGTCGATCTGGTTGGTACGTGCAGGCTAGTATCACCTCGCTTGGAGGAAGCAATAGCTGATCCGTGTTTCTGTATAGAATCCGGTGAGACCATGAAGGCTGCTGGCCTCAAGGCCATTGACACCGTTGTTGAGACCATCTCTGTGCTGGTCAAGTCCCGGAACACCCAGAATCCTCTGGTTGACCTGATCGCCTCCCGCATTCGTGGTGTTATCAGTATGTCTTTCCCCTTCGTCTTGGTGAGTTAACCACTAACGGCTTTCTACCTCACAGCCGCCCAGAAGTACGTTCTGTGCCAGTACAACATCCCCCGCGCGGAATTGTCGACCGCCTCCAGCATCACTCCAGGCAAGCGCGCCCCCACGGTGACTGCCTTGGATCAGGATGGCTGGGTGGCCGTCAGCGCAATGGTTGAGAAGAAGAAGATTGCTACCGTCATGGATGAGCTGATTAAGGTTGGCGCCACGGACATTCTCGTCCTGAACATCGCCAACTCGAGAGCTGCCTAAAATGCTATGTCACTAAGTTCAGGGCAGCGCTTGTTTTCATTCATTCTTGGTTGTGAACGTTCATGATGATCTCCTTTTTGCATTGGGCGTGATATATTTATTTCTTGGTTTTACTTCCTCTTATATGATTACCCAGCATTTTGTTCAAAATAGAAGGATTGGGTTCAAAATGTGAAGTGGTAGGTTAGGGATAAAGGCTAGACACCTATCGAGTTGATGATGTTCATAGGCTTTTATTGAGTAGTTAGATTTTCTATGGTGGTGGCCTCAACCGGGTCAATTTCTTGCAAGCTTCAGTGATATATACTTGCGCATTTAGTCACATGTCCCCGCGGAGACTATTCCGGACCCGTCACAATTGTCCAACCTTCATCTGAGTTTCTTCCACTTTTCCCCATCATTGACAGCTGTCCTGGAATTGAAACCTATTCAATAAAGATATAATCCATTGCCCACCTCACTCCCAGAGAGTGAAGAGAGGCACTTTTTTGTGGTGCCAAGGAATCGGTGCCTGAAATCAAGGGCATACAATCATGTGCCATCCATCCGAACGGCAAGTAATCAAACCGCAGCGGAGTTCAAGTCCACTTACTAGAGCTTGCGACGCAGTTCTATTAATTCAATTGTCAACTGTGCTGTAAAATCACTTTCATATTGTATTGATGTTTCATACATTTGATCTGAAATTAAAACATGGGGCTGAAGGGGAAAGTGATCAATCGCCGGGCCGCAATGATCGTGTTCGCAAAGCATGTGAGCTATGTCGACAGATGAAGGTCAAATGCGACGGGACCCATCCCTGCAAGCATTGCTCTCATTCTTTCCACGGTAGGAGCTTCTCAAGCCTCGGGAACCGTCAATGAGCCTAAGGGCTCGTCGCAAAAAATCTATGTATAACATACTAGTAACCAAAGAGTGCATCTATTGCGTTACACATCGGAAAAGACGCGCCGACCCGGACCACAGAACCTTCGCCAGACCAGGCAAAAAGCCGAGCTTACAGAAGAGCTCGAACCATATCGATGACTCGGATGCAGACGCTTCGCAGCTTGCTGCTTGTCAGCCAGACACGCCGGAAGTCATGCATGAAGTCGATAGGGAAGAGGGCCGGCTGGAAGCACGACACCATGGGTCTTCCGGAGAGCGGTCTTTTATAGAACGACTGAAGCTAGAACTCGGAGACTCCCCAGGCATCGACTTTGAAAGCAAATCGCGCGTGAAAGAGCGACTGGCTCCCAGGCTGTTTCTGCTAGGAGCCCCAAATTGCTTATCGAGGACTTCTGCGCCTCTCCCACAGCGCGAAAGGGCACAGATCCTAGTCAACCAGGCTTTGGATGCGCACTTACTCTACAATGCTCTGCATCGTCCCACCTTCACTTCTGTCTTTCAGCTGTTGTACTCTCTCGATAGAGAAGTCTACAGAGAGACAGAGATTAACCACTTTCCCCTCCTCTACTCGCTGATGGCGGTAGGCTGCCTATTTGAGAAACACAACGAACATCACCCCGCGGAGCCATTAGGGGGCTCGCTTGCTGAAGGGTGTGTTGCCTCCCACGGAAACAGATCTACTGACCACATATTGGCCATAACAGTTTGAAGTAATTCAAAACCTGCCGCGATATGGTTGACCTCGAAGCTTGTGATGATCTTTTTGCCATGCAGGCCATTTTTTCATGAATATCTTTCTCATCAGCACATGTAGATTATCCCGGTGCTTCACGTATTTTTTTCATATGCTTTCCTTGGCTTTTCGCATGGGCCTGCACCGTCCCAGTAAGACAGATAGTCCGGTCGTTGTCGAGACCAAACGATGTCTTTTCTGGGCTATATGGCAACTTTTGGTCACTTTAGCTTCCATGTGCGGCCTCCCAAAGCCTGTACCTGCTGATGAGATAGGGATGGATTATCCCGAGGCTATAGCCGTCAGTGTTCAGCCAGATCAAGAAAGTGTAGGGGCTAAGCAGAGTGTTCAGGTCCCAGAAACGATACCGAGTCATCTGAGTTACCTGAAACTTCATGAGATTCTTTACAGAGTTGTGAAGAGCCTGTATCCTCCAAGCACTATGCAGCATCGGGATGCGAGCGAGTTATTGAAGCACTTTGTCACCAAGGATACCGTTTTCAAATTCGAGGACGAGCTACGGAGATGGGCCAAGCACCTTGCAATTCGTGACATACTAGCAAAACATGAGGACATTCACAGGTCTGGGGACTGGAAGTTCGCAAAGCCATCAACTGTACGAACTCTGCATGACCTTTGCTTATACTCAAATCTACCTATACCGACCGTTCATGCACTACCTACTTCAAAGTCACAACAAACAGCAAGAAGGCCGAAATCATGCACTGGCCGGGATTCGTGCAAGCTGTAATATCATCCGTCTCGCGCAGGATATGCACCGCCATGGTCTTCTATTTGGATCGCAGTGGCGAGTGGCACATATGATCTCGACTTCTGCACTCACACTTCTGTACGTTCTTCTTACCGATAAGACCTCTAAAATGGTGCGATATCTTGAGGCCGAGCTGGATATAGCCAGGGCCATGCCCATCACTCTTCGACCTTATTGTATCCACTCTCGCAGGAGAAGCAACCTATCTAGAGACGATTGACTTGGTAGCGAGGACATTCGCCAATCAGTCCAATCGAGAAGAAATAAGCCGAGCACACATTGAGAACCCAGCAATCGGTCAAGAGCCTAGGTCTTTGCGGTATCCATGGGAAAAAATTGTACAAACCCAACCGCCTGCAGCCAACGCAGCTCCACAGCAGAACAGTGGACACTTTGGAATTGCATCCACCCCCATTTCTGCGCAGCTTTTGCGTGAGGGGGATACTGCGATAATGCGAGGAATCACAGATGTCCCGCAAAAACCCTTCCCGACGCAGCCTGAAACCGTGCATCTTGAACCAGAATAGGCACAGTTGGGAGCGCAAATAATATGGAGGCACGACCCTATGTGGACCAGCAAATTTATGAGCAGTTTGACTACTATACGCAGTCGGCCGGCTACGAAGATATTGATTTCGACGGGAACGAGAGCTTCTACCCTTTCAGTCTCTATTTCTCAGGATTCGAGAAAATCATGTGCCTCCACTTTTTAGAATTGACGGTGTTCGTTACGGATTGTTATAGATATTATCCAGCGGGACCCGAGGGCGTCAAAGGATAAGGGCAGAAAGACGCTAAACCAAACTTCGGATCTCATGCCCATTACGGAAGTGCCTTCTATTGCCCATGCAAACCAAATATTGCCCTTCCGAGTCATGGATCGATGTTATCTGCAGAAAAAGAAGAGCCATGGACCCAAACAGACAATTTTAGGATTGATGAAGTGTGGGTGTCGTCTGGCAACCAATCGTCTTTGTTTCACTGCTTTCACTGAAGTGGTGCTAGAGAAGACCCGACATCTCAGCGTCATGACAGAACAGGAGAATGTGGTGGTGTCTCTGGAAGACAAGCGAGAAAAGCAGGGATTAGGTGCTGAAATGTCCTTAAGTCAAGCCAGAGAGGAGTATCCAGAGACCGACCTGAGCATAGGAGTTGTTGGGTGGGAAAGTCACGAAGACCCTTCGAATCCGAGGTAGGTGATGGCTACACCTGTTTTGAACAGCGGTGCTGAGTGTATGATAGGAACTATCCGGCATCTCGAAAGTGGTTTTTGCTTGCTTTGATTAGCATGATCACGCTAGTTAGGTACACCATCACCTTACCGCATACTCCCAGACCTATAACTTACCTATACCCCTCCGATAGCCCGTTCGCATCTTCTGTGTTTGCCTCAGCTGCAGTGTTTGCTGGAGAAGAATTTGGGAATACATCCTCGACCGAACAGACTTTTTCCGTGACGGGCTACCTGTTTGGCTATATTGTACGTGCTCTTGTACTCTCCTAAGCTCATGTGAGAGTGCTTACCAGAATTGTATAGGCTGGACCTCTTCTATTTTCTCCGTTGAGCGAGCTGTGCGGCCGTACGGTCGTTCTCAACATTGCAACGACCTGTTTTGTTCTGTTCCAAATCGGATGCGCGCTGGCCCCTTCCATCCGAGCATTGATCGGCTTCCGACTTTTGACGGGCATTGGTGGCTCAGCATGTCTTGCTACAGGCGGCGGAGTCGTTTCCGATCTGTTCGTGGCTGAAGAGCGAGGCCTTGCCATGTCGATCTATCAGGCCGGTCCATTGTTCAAACCTGTCCTCGGGCCCATCTGCGGGGGATTCATTGCCGAAAGAGCCGGATGGCGATGGGTAAGTATTTCGATACATTCGTCTCTCTTGCTTGCATGCGCGCGCCATATCTTAGAGCAGAGTATAGGTCTTCTGGGTCCTCGTCATAGCGGGTGGGACGTTAACCTCCCTTGCCGTGATTTTCAATCGCGAGACAAACCCTACGGTCCTCATACGCCGCAAGACTGCAAGGCTGCAAGAAGCTCTCGGCCGGTCCGATCTGCGGAGCTGTTTCGATGCGCAAGGTGACAAGCTGAAGCTGCCCTTATCTCGCAGGTTGTCCATGCCTCTCCAACTACTATTTCGATCCCCGATCGTCTCGATGATCGCCGTCTACATCGCCGTCGTCTACGGATGCCTTTATCTCCTCTTCACCACCATCACCGATATCTTCCAGAGTAAATACCACTGGAGCCTCGACATCAGCGGGCTAGCCAATCTCGGGATCGGGGTGGGCTTCCTCACGGGCCAGCTCGTCTTCGGTCTGCTGAGCGACCGCACGATCGCGCAGCACAAGCAGCGCAACCACGGCGTCTACGAGCCCGAGATGCGGCTGTCCCTGAGCATCTACTTTGCGATCTGCGTGCCGGTCTCCTTCTTCTGGTACGGCTGGTCCGTGCAAGCGCAGACGCACTGGATCGTGCCGATCATCGGACTCTTTCCCTTCGGGATCGGGATCGTGGGCATCTTCGGCCCGCTGCAGACGTACATCATCGACTCGTACCCGCGGTATGCCGCCTCCGGGACCGCGGCCGTGACCGTGACGCGCTCGTTGCTGGGGGCCTTGCTGCCCCTGGCCGGGTCGCCAATGTACGCGGCTTTGGGCTATGGGCGGGGGAACTCCTTGCTGGGGTTTGTCACGTTGGCGCTGCTTCCGTTGCCCATCGTTTTCAGTCGCGTTGGCAAGGGTCTCAGGCAGCGTTTCGCTGTGGATGAGTGATCGTGTGGTGTGGGTAGACCGGGCTTGCGTGGCAGCTGTACCAGTCTTTTCTTGAGTAGAGTAGCCTACAACGATAAAGGGAGGGTGGATGGGTGTTAGTGAGTGATCGAAAGGCATGTCCTGTTATAGCTCTTTGATCCTACTCCACAACCTAAGAATAGCAACTTCACAGATCTCAGACATGAAATCTGTAGCTCGATTTCCGACCAGCGTAGTCCTCAGAGTTCCCTGCCATCCCCAGTATTTTCCCTCCAAATGAGCGATCCTAGTTTCAATCTAACTAGAGCTTCACAGCCTATCTTGGCACCCACCGAAGATCCATTACACCCGCACTTGCGACTAGTCAGCACGTCAGCCGTGGAGCAAGTCATAGGGAACACTCACTCAGCAATGCTTACTCGTTCTAGGCCGGAACTCTGACAGCTTTTTCGCGAAAAGGGAAGTATATGCAGACCGCGGCGACTAACCCTGATCTCGGGGGTTCCCCCGATATTGAGGTTAGCGCCACGCTAACCCTAAATTCGGGATCTTCAACAGAATGAGAGATAGGTCATGAGTATGAGTGGCCCACCACAACCGTCAGCGACCATTAATATGGTCCTTCTCCACAGACAGTTCAAGCTAGAGGGAACACATACTGACACTGAGTTTCTATGCTTGGCGGATGTACAGCCGAGAGGAGATGTTCTTCGATTACTACAGCTTCGCGCCCAGACGGCCTTGCCAGGAGGATCACAACTTCCCACCCCCCCTCCCCAACAAGAAATCTATAACATAGTACTGTACTCGGCACTCCAGCCATCAATTTCGCATACTTCGACCCCACGACTGGCCCTCGACACCCCCAACAACTACCAACTACCCTGCACCCACAGAACCGCATCAAAAAGGCCTATACTCCTGCCCCTCGACCTCTTCCAAAACCTGCACAGCCCTCCGATACCCCTCCATGCCCCTCAAACCCTTCACATACCCCCGCAGCCGCGGGAACCGATCGGGATCAATTGCCTTGATCTCCTCCGCAATCACCAACGGATAACTCATGAGGATATCTGCTGGGGTGAACCGCGTACCGGTCAGGTAGGCAGGAGGAGGAGCAGCAGCAGCAGCCCCCACCCCCGCGATCCTCTCCAACTGCGCCTCCAAGAACCCAAAATGCGTCTCCAGATTCGGCCGCGTATACTCCCTGTTCACAATGGCGGGCACGAGCCCGAGCACGGGTTTGACGAAGAACGGCGCGGGGGCGGTTTGGACCACTACACACCCATCCCACCCCATCCCAGCCACCAAATTGTCAGCGGATCGAGACTCCCCATCCTTGCCTTTTTAAGAAGAAAAAAAGGGGAGCAAAAACAAACCGTCCATCAAAACCCGTACCACAACCAACGGCATCAAACTCCCCTCCGCATAATGCATCAGATACCGGTACCGCAGCCACGCCGCAGTCTCCCCGCCGGGCTGGTTCTCGCGGCCGGCGGTCCAGCGCGGCGGGAGGGTCAGCTTTGGGGGAGGGTGCGGATCCGCACCCGGAGCCGGTGGGGGTAGGAAATGATCTACCAGATACTCGATGATGGCGGCGGATTCGGCGAGGATTAGCGGGGCTTGTGGTTGTTGGTGGGCTGACGCTGGCGGCGGCGCGATGCTGAGCACGGGGCTTTTGCCGAGCGGGTGCAGGTGCTTCAGGGCGGCCGGGGCGCGCTGCGTGGCATCGCGTTTGTACGGTTGGATCTCGTAGGTGAGGCGCAATTCTTCGAGGAGCCAGAGGATGCGTTGGGACCGGGAGCGATCGAGGCTTTGAGTCTCCCGGGGGCCCGGGGTTAGGGGTTGGGGAGGGTTGTGGAGAGAGGAATTGCAG